CCCTTAAGCCTTCCACTTTGCAAAGAAAGACAGGAAGCCCCAAAGGCACGGGGCGAGGTCATTTCCTCCTCCAAAGCAAAGCCAGGGAGGTCCTCGGCAGTGCAGCCCAGCGCCCCAACCCAAGTCACAACGGGCCCTGGGCCTGCACGCGCAAAAGCCTACCTGCTGCCGCTCGGCCGGGGCCAGTGGGGGCGAGATGCCGGCCGGCCTGCTGGCGTCCACACTGTTCTTGGTCAGGGCGAGCGGCTGCTCCAGGCTGAGGCTGGGGATGGAGGCGTACAGGTGGGCGCCATGCAGGCTCACGGCGGGGGCCACGGCGCGCTCGATGGGGCTGCGGCTCCGCTCGTGGTGGTCTTTCCGGCAGTCGCCATTGGCCGTCTTGTTCCTGAGAAAGAAGAAGGTGCACTCAGACTCTCGAGCACCTGGCCAGGGGGACGGAGACCACGTGCCAGGCGCACCGTACTCACCGTCCTATTTTATTTCTCCTCCCGTTAGATACGTACTACACGCTACTATCACCCACTTCTTCTGAGCTCAGATCAAATAACTGATGAGCAAACTGAGAAGCCGGCGCCCCAGATGGCGCACAGTTAACATGCTGGCAGGTTCGAGTCCACCAGGCCTCCGAGGAAGGCGTGGCGAGCCAGCAAAACCTTGGCTGTCAAAAGCCCTGCGGTTCCCAGTTCTGAGCAGTGATGCGACCCTGCTGCATCTCCTTCAGCTCTGATCTGATCTTGGGGAGTGGCCGGCAGCAAGAACAGTCCTCACGGGCGCTGCAAAGTTAGTGCAGGCGCTTGCTTCTTCTCGCAATTCTCTTTCCCCACACACTTTGTAACTCCTGCCATTCGGAAGAGTCCCTGGGTAGTGCAAATGGTTCACACGGGAGGATCTCCAAAGACAGGCCTGGAGAGCCGCTAGAAGGCCAGTGCCGCTGGGTCACTGGGACTTGAAACTGGTCAGTCTGACACCAAAGGGCTGCATCCATCAGCTCCCCAAACTGGCGCTGCAGGGCCATTGGACCGCAGGCCGTGCTGGGCGCCTCCCTCTTCCACATGCTCAGTGCTTGGCTTCTGCCTGACTCACTGAGCAGGGCTATAGCCATCGCCACGTGACCAGAGCCACCCAGCTTGGGTCTGATGAGGGCCTAGCATTTGGAGAGGAAGACTATGATGGGATCTTCCAACAGCCCCCAGGAGTGCCCCCTTGCCAGACCTGGAAACCAAGACTCGAAGCAGCGGCAACCAGCCAGCCCTTCTCGAGGCTGGAGCGCACCATGGGGCGGTGTTTCACCAGAACGTGCTGGGCAAAGCCCAGCAGCCAGCTCCAGAGGCTGTGCTGGGCCAACAAATGCCATTCCTACTCAAACCAGTGCAGACAGGCAAGGTCACAGGTGGAGCATTCAGAGTTAACGAGAGAAGCCTCCCCAACCCCTTCTTCCCTGTTTATTCCGGGCAACTTTTCTAGTTGTCCTCTGAGCACAATTCACTAGACTACTAGGATACCTCCCCCCACACCCCGCAAGCCTTCTTTACTCCAGGATCATGTGCAGCTGGCCAACCCCAGACCTGCTGAAACTCCATTCACCGCACTCTCCAGTAAAGGTTCACCTATCCTTCTGCGCAAACCTGTACGAAAGACTCACACCACTACCAATTGCCTTTGAGTGGGCTCTACTCCCTGTGACCCATGTGTGTCATGGGAGAACTGAGTTCGAATGGTTTTCCCTGGCCAGCTCTGAGAACCTAGATCACTCAGCTTTTCTTCTGAAGTACCTCTACATGGACTTGAACCTCCAACCTTTGGGTTAGCAGCTAAGCATGGTCACCGTTTGTACCACCCTGGGCCTCCATCACAGCACGAGCATCAGTCCCCTGCTCCCATGAGCTTCCAAGAGTGCAGAGGATCCCAGAGGCCCTGCGCCACACTGCCTGTCCCACAAACTCAAAACCAAAATCCATGCCGTCTACTCAGTGTTTCTGGGGCTGTAAACCAGTGGTTCTCAACCTGTGGGTTGCGACCCCTTTGGGGGACTAACGACCCTTTCACAGGGGTCGCCCAATTCATAACAGTAGCAAAATGACAGTGATGAAGTAGCGACGAAAATAATCTTATGGTTGGGGGGTGGGGGGAGTCACCACCACATGAGGAACTGTATTAAAGGGATCACGGCATTAGGAAGGTTGAGAACCACTGCTATCTTTGGTCTGTTTTCTCTCTCTTAATTGGCACATAATTCACATCATACAACTCAACAGCTGAATCATTAAGAAGAGCTGTGCCATCATCACCACAATCAATTTAAAACATTTCCATCTGGTCATTGCTCGCGCCCATTTCTCCCCAACGGCCCCTGACATGCTCCTAGGTAAGTATGAATCCTGTTACTGCCTAGAGATTTATCGATCCTAGACACTCTCGTATAGAAAACCATGCAAAACAATGACAAAACAGAACAGAAAAAGCCCTCAATCAACAAGGAAGCAAAAAATACTCAAGACTGAAAAAATGTTAATAGGTCAAAGAAAAAATTAATTGATAAGATGATACATTTTAGCCAAATTGCATCTGCCATACCCTGCTCTCTTACAGCAAGGCTATCCACATCCCTGGACCACACTCCGGTCAGGGGGATTCACTGGCGGCTCAGTCCACATGGGGACCCTGCACATGGCATTTGGGCTTTCACTCATTCAGTCTTCTGTCAACTGATGTTCAGAAGTTAAGCAATGATACCACTCATCTTCCTCAGCCTCATCTTTCTCCCTTGGCACAGCTGGTGGGTTTGAAAGCTTGACTGACAGTGCCACCTGGGCTCCTGGCACACAGGGACTCTGTGTCCAGGAGGAGAAACAGTACGTCAATGACTGGGCAGGCTGGCACAGCCCCATGGAAGTGGACCTGTGTGTAAGGCAGCACTGGGGGTGGGGGGCGGTCCATGTCCTTCAGATGCTTTATGTATCCTAATCAATAACTGAGGGCCTGGGGACAGAGCACCTGGAGTGGCGGAGAGCCCAACTCAAGCCTTGCCTTCCTCCTCTACCGTGTGTTTTTAACATAGCGTCCACCCAGAGAGCTTTAACCAGAACTAGGCAGTACACCCCCACCACCTGACTCCCGCATAGCGGGCCAGTAGTGTCCAGTCAGCACTGGAGCACTGGCCGCAGGGCGCTCGCAGGACACAAGCATTTCGTTTATGGTTTTATTTCCTTCCCTTCGTGTATTCTCTGTTGACTATAAAGAGTGATCCTCAAAGCCTATTAGAGAACACATTTTTCAGACAATCACGGGAGAGCAAGCTC